ATTACCTTAGTGAGATGAATAGAGAGTGCCCCAACACTGAGTTATTAGAGCACTTTCCAGCCTGGAGGAAGAATTCAATCACCTCTGACAATGGTTGGGTCTGAATTTAGGTGTCTCACCTTCTGCCTGACTGCTCTAACCTCAAGGCTATTATAAAAACAGCAGCATAACCAGACCCACGGCTTTAAAACAAAGGATGATTTCTACTCTATTTTGTAGGGAGTATGATCCTGTTGGCCTATGTGCTGTGCGCTCTGTGTACTCACTCATGGGAAATACAGGGATTTAACCTAGGAACTGCTGCTTTCTGGATCCCTGATGGGTTTTAACATGAGTTAGATGGAAAGATCCTTAGATATGTCAAGATCAGAGTAGTTCTGAGCATACGCCGACATACAGTGCTAGATGCCTGAGTAAGGTGGCAGTTGAGTAGTGGTTTTAAAATTTAATTTTAAATGTAGGTATTAAATTCTGCTGAAATCCTAACTTTAGGCTGGTCTCCAATACAATAAAAAAGTCATGGTCACATTATTAATCCTGAGCATAGTGCTCTGATTCCCCTAAGGACCCGATGTTTTTTGTATGCTGCCTGTTGCTGTCATGTTTTTTTCCTCTCACCTCATAAATGATGTATTAAGCAGAATAGCAAAGTTGCACACTTTTCTCTACAGAATTTACACCCACAGCTATGCTGTCTTTCAGTCTGGTCTTGGTCTCTCTAAAGAAAACATCCCCAGGTGAACTCCACTATCATCCAGAGTCTGAATCATGGATTGGCCTTCCCATTTCCTCTCTTTGAAGACCTTATTCTCCCAGTTTGGATTACAAGGTTTTCCTTTTGCAAACACAGCAACTGAATAAGCATCCAAGCAAGCTAACAATTTTTTTTGCTTTTAAAACTTTTAACAGTTAATTTTTAATTAGCGTTTAACTTTTAATTCACTTTTGTAGCTGGAAATCAATGGAAGAAGCCAGCACCTTGTGATCAGCCAGGCTCCCGTGAAACATCAGCAAGTGCTTTATGGACTGTGGTCTAAAAATCTCTGGTCTAAGGTATCTGTATGAGTCTAGGCACCAAATGTTCAGATAGAAGTACAAGGAAGCACATCTCCAAAGTCATGCAATTATTCTTCAGAACCAATTAAAAAATACAGTTCTTCAGTATTGCTAACACTTCTTCCCAACTGGCCTGCCAGAGTGATTCACTTTATTTCAAAAGCACAGATTCCAGAGGTGGTTACACCTTCACTCTTCAGGGTTGGCCTCAAGCACAAAAGAAACAAGTAATTTTCCAAGGTCCCTGTGGTCAAGAATGACGATAGTTTCAACTCCTTTAATTCCCTTTCTGGCAGCAGCACTAAATTGAAAGGCAATTTCAAGCCATTCAGTTGGTACTTGCACATTCTTTAGTTTGGTAAGTGTTGCATGATTGTAACCATTGCTTTTATGTCTGAAAAACCCTGCCTTTATACCTTAATGTCCTAACCAGAGACTAGCATACAAACAGCATAATGAAATCATAATGTCTGTCATTCATAATTTTCTTTTTTCTTGTGTCAAACCCACTGGCTTCTATCAAAGAACTTTCCAGTCTTGCAAATCTCCCACTGGGCTCCTTTGAATTATTACTAGTCATTACATAATTGTTAACTTCTTCCCCAAAAAACCTTTCCTCCCTTTGTTGAAATCCAAACATATACAAGGTGACATTGGCACATTCCAGCCTGTACAATTAAAATGGATTCTGCTTTCTTTAAATGCCACTAAGGCTGACCCATCTTTCATTAAAGATAGACTGACAACAGGGAGGTAAAATCTCAGCAGGGTCCATCCTTGATTCCTTGTGCAATTAAAATTTCTGCTGTGGCTAATGGATATACAAAAGATGTATGACTCCTGCCAAAGTGAGGGTAAGCAAAAGTGTTTAAAATTTGGGTTGTGTAACATCAGGGTTTTAGCCTCTTAAAACATGTATTCAAGTGTTAGATTGAGGGGTTTGTGTGTGTGTGTGTGTGCACGCGTGCACACGCATACGTATATCACCTTGGCAGTATATATAAAAGTTGTCAAGAAGCTCTGAGCAATAGCTATGGCCAGGATTGTGCAGAATTGCAATTTGGGAGCAGAAGAGGTATATTTATGCTGAGTCACTGTTTGACAGTTTCTAGTTCTCACTCCTTTTTACTAACTTTATTTTTAAGAAAAGATTTTTATGTCTGTCTGTATAATCCTTATTTCCACTGTTGATTATTTCATAGTGCGGTGAAGCCCACAGATTTTAGCAGGAATACGTTAATATTAAGTGTCCACCTACATAAGAAAAGACTACGGAAATGGGAACCTAAAAGGCTAGGTAAAGATCAAAGTGGAGAACGTTCTAGTAAGAACATTGGTCAACAGCTTAAAGTATAACAGAACAGATAGTAATAGAATCCCTTTGAAATTCACATTAATTATCTCAGTACGCTCTGTATATATCAAAACAATATTGCACCGATGGGAAACATATATTATCATACAAGTCTTCCATGAACAACATTTAAATGGTCTAGACTCCCTAAATGAGAATGTTTGTGTCACAGACTGATTGGATATGCCCTTCCCTTAAATGTGGGTTGTAACACGTGAAAGAAGATGCTTTCTCCTAAAGACATGGGCAGCTAGGGAATGATGAGACATGCTAATACTGTGAACCAGGAGGGCAAAACCAAGCTCTGGTCTGGAAACCATACAGCTGCACAGAACTGAGTCTGTGCTAACCAGTTGTGTGAGAAGGCAAGAACTACATATAAGCAACAAGGACCTACAGTCATGACTTGGTGTATCTACCTGCCTTCTGGAGTAGAGCTGTTTTGTGACCTGCCAGTTCATGCTATAGGCATAGCTAGTAAGCGACTGTAGCTGGTAAAATAAGCATGCCCACAGGTTGCTGTTGGATAACACTGCCTTGTGCAGGATGTACAGAGTCACTAGAGTATCTCTGTAAAGTGTTAGCCTGGATTCAGTCATCTATTACTTTTTTTTTTAATGTTGTTGAGCAGCAAATTGGGGTGCAGCACATAATGGTGAAACTAGCTTCCCAAAGGAATAGAAAATGCTCTTTCCTAAAGTATGTGAATATGCCTTCATCTTTTTTTTTTTTGTTTGATCAAATCTTTGTTATTTTGGACATGGGGGAGAAAAAGGGGGTATGAATTTTAATTGCAAAATATTTGTTATCTTTGAAGAAATAAGATCTAAAGGTTTTGAAAATGAAACATAGCAGCCTTATTTCAAGGCTCCCTTCCATGATGCTGTCTTCTATATAAGGCTACATCAACTCAACTTTGAATTGAAGTACATCACTCACCACTTCATACTATCCTTAAATAAAATAAAATAAAAAAAACCATAAAAGTTTGGCACCTGAGGACAGCTATGTCATGAAGGAGAGAGCCAATGCAATGTGCGTTTAGGGCCTGACTTACAAGTTCTATGTAACTACACCTATCAAAAATTATTTAGCTTCTATTCAAACTTTAAAACTCTTCCCTGCCTGTATTAAAAAAGTGCTGTGACAGTATGAAGTGCACTAAACTGTACTACCTTGATATAGGAAAAAAATATGAGGAATCCCCTTGCTTCTTCTGTGAGTTGCTAAGAAACAAAGAAAGACTCTGTTAGTTCGTATCTCATTAGGTCTTCTCTGTTTTAACCTTTACTCTGTATTGCTTTGAAAGTATTTTTTCTTTTTTCTTGTCACAGTTCATAGCTGCAAGCTGCAAGGCATCAGCAGCTAAATAGTTAAAATTGTTGCTTATTAAAGAGTAGCTAAATCACCTCTAAGCAGATTTTGACACAGGGTTTTTTTTCCCTATATACGAATTATGATTATGACAACCTTCCCACTGACAGTTAGCATTCATCATAATCCAGATTGGTCTCCTAGAATTCTGTCATTCAAAATATGGAGAAAATCCTTAGGGTGTTTACCTGTTCCTTACAAGCAAAGACTATGGGAGCCCGAATACGTATTTTAGCTGGTAATGTTAGCATAAGAACGTCCATAAAAATGTGTTAATTTCGGTAGGGAGTGCAGCTATAATATAGCTTGGTAGTGCTGCTAGAAAGAGAATATTCACCTCAACAACTTGCCCTGATAAGGGAATTACAAAACAGTACTCCAGAAAATATTTTTTGCTACTTCATTATTAGTTGGCAACATGGTGAAATAGTCAGGAAATCTTCCTTGGGTTTTGTTGCTGTGAAGGTGAATCCCATGTTAACAAATCAAATTTTTGATACTGATAGAAGAGAATTTCATAAACAAATGTGTAGGTTGAGAAGTCACTTGTAAAGCCCTCCATATTGCAGTCACTCACTGCAAAGCCTCAGCTTAGTGTTATCCACATGTAACGTATCACGGACACAATATGCTTCAGCAAAAGGTTTGGTAGTTATTGAACATACATTACTGCTTTTTGAGATCTTCATAGAAAAAAAAAAAGAAAGCAAGCTTGACAGCTTGGTCCCAGATTTGAGTCTGTTAGAAAATGTACATTCAATGTTTGGTCTTCTATTCTTGATAAAAGATCAAGGTTCACTTCTGGGTAAGGAATCAGAGTAAACAAACAAACCATTGTACAGTTGTTTACAATCTAGTTTCCCCCCTGCCCCGTATATTGTACACACAGTTCATTGTAATACTAAAGCAAAGCACTTGGTATGTAACTGATTTAACAGACTCCTTGTAAGCCCTCAAAAATAGATTCAGTGTTTCTGAAAAGCCCATGTTTTTTTAAGGCCACGATAATCTGCCAAGAGTCATTTTGTCTTTAAAACAGCATAATTAATCTGATGTTTCCACTTCTCAAGTAATTCCTCTTCTTCCTCTCCGTTTCTCACAAGATGACCCAATGCCTCTCACTTTATCTGCGTAAACACTGGAGATCTTGAAGGCTTGGCTGTCCCCTCACTACTTGCTTGTAGTCGTTGAGATCCAATGTTGTCTTGAACTACATTCACAGCGAAGAAGAACTTTGAGTATAATCTCTGATGAGGAGCGTGTCATACTTTGGGGAGGATGGGATACAGAGAGCTGATTCGGAAACCGGAGAGCTGGGAGATGCACTTCCAGAATCGATGGAGTCTCTAAAAGGAGAAGGAGGAGTTAAAGCTACCAACTCCTCAAGGTCTTGCTTGGCTGATGGGGTCTCGGAAGTGCCTTCTTTGATGCTGCCATTTGAAGGTTTCCTAGCTGACTGTGAAGCGCCATTGACTTCAATGGCGGGAAGCGGTTGGATCTCTGCAAACGTGGTCATTGTCGTAGGGAGCTGGATTTCCCGTGGGATCAGGTATGAAGAGCAGAGAGGAGTGGCCACCATTGTCCCTGGAGTAGCTGTTGAAAGCATCATAGAGTTCAGCTCGCTGATGTTGGCTGTAAAGCGAGTAACCACGCTACTGATCTGCTCCATGAGGGAGCCTTGAGAGGAGCTACTTCTCTGAGGAGGTTCTGACTGGAAGGTAGGGGCATCATCTTCTGTTCGGCTAACGGAGGCAGTTCTGTGGCTCAAGGTGCTGATAGGCGAGGGAGTCTGCGGTCGGTACTGAGCTGGGTATTGCTCTTCTGCTTCCGAAACGTCGTAAAGCGTTTTGGCACTGGCCTCAGGGAATGTAGCACTGCTACTATGTCGGCTACTATCTGTACTTTTAGAAAAAGGCTTGATCACGGCAGTTTGATTTGGATTCTCTTTTTTGTTGATGTGGATTGACAGCCGCTGCCAAAGGTGCGCTCCTCTGCTGCTTTTCTCATTCTGGGCCCAGGAAACTGATTTCCCATTAGAGCTGTAAACAGAAATGAGATAAGATGGTAACTTGCATCAAAGTTAAAAATGCAATCACTGTACCTATACCATGGGTATGTGGTGTCCCAGAGCTTATATTCATGGTAAAACTGACTGTAATTTCATCTATCTCTATCTCTACCTATTGCAATATATCTATATCTATAATTTATACCTATATGTTCTAGGAAAACAAGCAGAGTGTGCCAGCTCATTTCACAGGCCATTTTTGCCTCTAGTCGTGACCTACTCTGTGCTAGTTCATGGCCACTGCTGACGCCTCTGTTGCTGCCCTTGGGACATAGGCAGTGTCCATCCTGGGGGAGGGAAGAGCTTGATGATTTCCATTTTGTTGGACTGGTGTCAGGAAGAGGGGCTGTGGGACTGAGGGACGCATGGAGGAGTGAGGAAGAGGTAAATGATTGAAGGGAATAGATGAGAGACCTGAACTGGCTGGGTTGCAGGGGCAGGTATGTAGGCCGGCCTTGGAAGCGTTCAGTGGTAAGGAACTTGTTGTAGGGTGAGGGCCATGGATTCCTGGTATGGGGCAGGGAGTGTAGACTGGGAGATGGAGAAGTGTAGTCTGTTATGGCTGGGAAAAAAATCTGTTTATATCCCAATACTTGGAAGTATTGGAGCAATACTCAGAAAGGGGCTATGCTGGTTGTGGGTGGAGAGATGCTTCTAATGGGTGGCCTCTTCTTCATCAAGGTACTTGGTAAGTTAGCCACCGCTAGCTTAAAAAAATTATTTTTTTTAATGGCAGGTCAACTCAGAGAATAAAACTATATTCCTAGTAGGAAAGAAATAATGGACAAGCTATACAAGCAGCTCCTCATGTTGACCTGAGTTTGGAGACAGCAATAAACATTTTGCTCCACTCTCCTGCAAAATGACTGCTCATAGGGTAATTTGTCTTCAGATCCCATCATACCCTGCTCTTTATCAAAATTACTTATTTTTCTCCTCTTGCTACCTAAGGAAAGCCAGCTGCAACACTTATAAACACATAGTATGAAAGCACTCCTTTCCTTTTACATCTTCTTTAGGCTGGTGAGCTGGTGTTTATACATACATTAACCTATAGTTCTTGGGATTAAGAAAGACCATTAGAAATATTTCTTAGCTGAAACAGACAATGACTCTGAGATGATGTCAACAGGAAAAACATAGTCTCCACACATGAATAAGCGTGATTTATATATAAAATGCAACAGAACTTTAAACAATTTACTTTGGTTTCCAAAACATTTGCTACAGCCATTTAGGATTTTTGGAAAGACAACCACATTGAAGACCCTGGCAGAGTATCACAAATTTGTTGTTTGTTTGTTTGCTTTTTAAGCCTGAAATAGATATACTCACACATGTTAGCCTGCAGTGTAACAGTTTGCAAGACACATAGTTTACTAAACACAGATGACTTTATACCAGCCTTCATGTGGAGGCTTGCCACACACTATCAGTTTAATAGCTCTTCCAGTCATCTAAAAAAAAAGTTGTGTGCTGAGTGTAAACAAAACCTTCTTGTGGGTTTACATCCACGATCACATTACATGGAATTACGATGGATCATGTAACACAACATACGCCAACAGCTTTCCCCTTCAAAAGCAGCGTGACAGAATCCAGCAGACGAACACAACGTAAAACAGTGGGTATTTTAAAAGAGGCTGGTCTGGGAGATGATCTGTATGAGTGTATAAGGGCTCACCCCTTTGCTGCAGTGATCACCAGGCTGTTAGCTGGATCTTGGAAGTTAACTCTTATGCACCCGCCCCCAAAATGCCAGGCAGAACAGCTGGTGGTTTGTAACTTGCTGTTCAGACAATGCCTTCCTTTTGCTGTACCTCAATCAGAGCAAGCAGGAAGAGCAAAATCTAACCTGTAGCACTGGTAATTTTGACTCTTTGCATCTCCATGGATGTGTTTCTGAGCTGAACAGGAGCTGGGACTAACATCTTCCAGAGGAAAACTCTTGCCTCTGAGGATTGCGTGCTCCTCTCACTGGAACACGTACTCGGTGGGTGTTAAGAACTGTTTGAGAGCCCTGGCTCCTTGGTCATGCTGAGTCCTGAGCTCAGCGGGAGCTCAGTGCCAGTAGCAGGAGCAGGATTTGGATCCTTTGGGAGGTGAGATCTTGCCTCTAGTTCTAGTATGATGGCCATGAGACCTCCTCCCAGCTCCTGCTGAGTTTGAGCTGGACCAGGAGGCTGGGTGACCTGGCACTCTTAGCCTTGATCTGGCAGAAAGAGAGGGCCTAGTTCCAATCCTGAGTGTCCTACCTGGTGGGGTCTCTTAATCCTGCTAAGTTCAGAGCTTAGAGGGGTCTGTGAAAGACCTGCCTGCCACAGAGGCTAAACAAATGCCATTAACATGAAGGATTAGTCAATGCAAATAGAAACACTTGCCTGAAGAAAGAGGTATATTCTAGCACCCCTCCTGACTTCAGGCTGTGGCTTAGTACAGATGTTCAAACCCTATGGCTTTAAGTGTGTACATGACCACTAAATGCACGTAGACATTTTCAGTTGACTGAAGGTCAGATTGTAAGAGGTTGTGAAGGGAACATGTCACTCCCTCCCTGGTCACGGTTCAGGAGACAATTATTAAGGAGGGATATGAGGCTGAGGAGTCTGGGGAAAGGAAAAGGATGAAATCTGGGGATGTGTCCAGCCCTGGTCAAGGGCAGCTGACAGTTAAATCTTCAATGGAGCAGCTGTCACCAGCCCCCAGTTTGGTTTTGGGTCAGTCTTGGCTGATGCACTCATTTACTGACTTTGCGCTATGCCCAGGAGTAATCAAGCTGTATGTGTGGCTCTCATGGAGATCCTAGGACTCTAAAGGAGACGCAGTTGCTGTTTGATGTAAATTTTATGCAAAAGCCTGAAAGACTTGACCATTATTCATTGCAAATACCTTGATATAAAAAAACTGAATAGGAAGCAAGCAGCAATTTATCAGTAAGGAATGAACCCTATAGTTAAAATCCTAGTAGTTTGCCCAGCAATAATTGGAATTGTTATCTCAGAAATGTATCATCCACTTTATCATGCTGCACCTACTTACTACAAAGTCAACACTGGGTTGAGATGTGCAATCATTTATCACCTCTGTGAAAGGAACACCACTTGTTTTCATATATTGGTATGAAACTAGATTACGGGTAAAACCCAGTGATGGCACTTTATGATTCTGCTCTAACTGCATATTGCTACTCTGTCAAGTTAACTGGAAAGCACTGCAATGCATACAATTTAAAAATAGAGAAATAAAGATAGATCAGAGACATAGACTATTATGTCTACTAATGGAATTGTTTACATTTATTATGCCCAGCTCTACCATGACCCTTTGATGATGGGAAACGTTAAGTCAGTGAAATTTTAGAGTTTTCTTGCAGATTTTGGCTCCCTCACATGAGAACAACAGAATTATACTTTTGAGCTCCCAAAGGAATTCCACTTCTAAATTTGACTGAATACACATTTTTCTACCCCACTCTGCTTTTCTGCGAGCACATTGCACTGAGTAGAGCAGAGCAAAGTACAGGTCATACCTGGAGAAGCGCAAACTCCAATCAATCAGTGACATAATTTCCAAACCAAAATGTTAGCAAAATACTTTTTTTTTGTGTGTGTGTAAAATAAAACCTTTTGCACGGCACTTTTTTTGTTTTCTTTCACTAGAGGTTAATTATGTTGATTTTTATGTATGAGAGGGATTTCCTCAGAAGCAGTCATACTAATTGTTTCTCCAGTCTCTTTACTAAAAGCTGCTTTGATTTTGATAGCTAGGCTTTTTTCCAGCCTGCTAGACCTACTATGATATAATATGTACAAGAAATAAAAATGGTATAAATGAGAGAGCTTTTGAAGTCTCTGATATTTCAAATATTTCCTCTACAGTTGTCCACTTGCTGACAGAATAGCAATTAGTATTCTTTCTCATTTTCTTCCCTTACTTAATCTTTTGAGAGGCACTTAAGTTTTGTCTTTAGGGCTTTGTTCTGTATTCATAAGGGGTATTAACTGCTTTTTATCCACTTAGGTGTTAAGAAAAATGTTCCCCTCCCCTAACACATGGGGTTTTTTACTGTCTAGAATAGATCACTTTGTTCTTTGTTTTGGTTGAGGTAGCAGAAGTTTTGTTTCAGCATTTCTTGCTCTGTGGTATGATTATCTATGAGATGGTGCATAGCTCTGCCACCAGGGTTTCTTTAGCCAGATGCTATTAAAGCAAATGTGTTATGTGAGGTCCTTCAAAAGGCAGAAGAAATGAAAAACGGGAAGAGAAACTGACAGTCACGGCAGCTGAAAATTCTCGTATTTTAGCAAGGGTGACATTCTCATTAATTACCTGAAGTTACTAAAATTAATTCTGATGATGAGTGCCTAGGGACTAGTATTGGAACAGTTACTGAAAGCATATGTAATTTGAAAATAAGTCACTTATTCCCTTGTTAATATCTTTAAATGAAATAGGAAAATCAGTTATCAAATGATGGAATTTATTATTTTCTAAGAAAGCTTAAAATGCATAGCTATATACATATACTATATATAGTATTATTCACCAGTGGAAACTGGAATACAAGGGGAATCAATAGAGATTAATACAAAAACTTAAGGGAGTTTTTGTTCTCTATCACGTACCAATATCAGTATCTGATTCCAGATGAAATGATACAACTGAAAACTGATACTGGATAATAACTTGATGGAGACCTGTGTGATCTGTTTGCAACCTGTCCTCACATGAATATAATAAGGAATGATTTCAAATTCTTTAATTTATAAGTCCATACATGAAAGTTCGTATTTCAGAACACTGGTCTAAATTTTATTGAGCTAAAATTGGCAGCAAAGTTATGCTTAGAAGTTTCAATGGCTGAAGTAGAGTGTTGCATTCAAACTTGAAGCAGTATCTTATTTTTTAAGAAGCTGACATAGTTAAGTTATTGCTCCAACAATGTGCAGACCAAGCCTGTTTCTTAAGGACAGTCTTCTCCTGTCTTTAAGGGAGAAGTCCTTCTGTCTTATCCACAGAAGCAGCTGGCAATGGTAAGCAGGACAAACTTCTGTACTTGGTCCATACAAGTTTCTGCCAAGGAGAACTCTTGTTATTCAAAATAAATGGTAAGAAGCTGTTGTCCTTTTGGAGTCCTCTGCTGAAACCTTATTAAAGACTCAATGATATAATTACTCTGCTTGAAAAGGATTTGTGTACTATCTGTAGATTTAATTAAAAACTAACTCTTCATAAGGGGTGATCTCTGTGTGTGCCTGTGATGCATGCAAGCATGGGTACATGTGTATTTTTTTTCTCTAGTCTTGTCACTTGAGCCAATCAGATCAATATATGTTTTGCTTGTAGTGACCCAAGTTCTTCATCTTTGGGAGAATGCAAGTGCCTTGCAACGTGCTAAAAACACTGAAATGAAATAAGTGGTTGAAGTGGTGAACTCCAGTATACCTGTATGAAAAAGTCATAGTTTCTCCTGGGACTGTAGGACAGCCTGGATGACTGGCTAAAACTGGACGCAGAACTTTAACGTGTCTCAACTTGGTCAGTTCCACCACTGTAATGGTTTATGTTGTTGCCATTTTGAATAGCTTTTTAAGGAAACCTCTACATGCGTATATAATTGTTTCCCTGCGTGAAAGCCAATTCTGCCACACACAAATAGTCTGCTAGTGATATATCACTCAAGTCATTTAGCTTAAATTATTTCCATGTTGCTTGTTCTATGGAAATAAATAAGAACAAAACACAAAAGAAGAATGATACAGGGCAAAAATTCATTTTGTCCTGTCCTGAGTTCTAGAAGTAAACAACATATTTTGTAATTATTATGCAAAGAGAGTTGCTTTCTGTTAACAACAGCAAGGACATTTATTTATATTACTCCATGAACTGTAATCTGTTGATACCTCCTTTCCTCATGAAAATCACAGCTGACATTTATATGAGTGACTTTAATCTATAAGGATGAAAGAAACTACAAGGTGAGAGAGAGCTGATGGACAGAAATTTTGCCAATGACCTCCCAGCACAGCCACCAGTGATGCTAATGCTGTCAGCTGTTTCAGCAGCATGCCTGGTTAGAACGGGAAATGAAGTGTCTGGTATCTGAATGAAACATTTCTAGGACACCTATTATCATGACCCAAAGTGCAAAAATGATTTTGATACCAGATGTAACGTCTTTCCTCTATTACTGTGACCTCATTGAAATTGTTAATTAAGGCAGCTAGTGCTGGGGTTTGCTTCTCGTCTGAAAAATGTCACTTCAAGCATCTCTGACCGCATCCCTGCTCCACTGGAGCATCCTATTCACAGGATGGAGAGTGGACAATGACACCACTTGTACTGTGAATTCTGCTTCCTGATGCACAAAGCTTTAAGATGCTTTCAACATTGCTTAGTCAACATGGTTTTTAAATTTTTTTTATTTGATAATTTGCTAAAGGTATGAAATGGAAACTAGGAAAAATAGGAACCATCAGCTTACCCAACCCTCAAATCAGGAGCACAAGCAGTGCACAACAAAAAAAAAAAAAACAAACGAAAAGAAAGGTTTAACTCTCCCAGTTGCATCTCCAGAGTCAAGGGTTGATTTTAATTCTATCCTCTGCAAAAAGCATACAGTTGGAGGAATTTCAGGTGTTTGGCATGCCTGATAAATAATTACAGAGGTATTTATGCACATGGGACTTACCAGCAGAAAAATTACTCTTGTGAATTATTAAGCAGTTTCTTATTTGTTGCATTTAATCAAACCAGAAATGCAAATATGATGCAAGAAATGCCAAAAAGATGGTGTTGTGATGCCTGCTTTGTGAAAGCCCCATAAAACATCCCATTCCATAATTGATTTTATCAGATATGTGTGAATGATGCTCACAGGTGATGCATGATGTAGTAACTTCTCTTAATCAGAAATAGCCTTACAAAGCATCACAGAGTGTCTCCATTACGGCCATTTTTATGTCACTTTTCATCTTGAAAAATCCCAAGCCACTTGTAAGACTAATATACAATGATAGTTAGGCCCTGATGTGAAAAATATCCACACTAGGGTTGGAACACAAAAATAATATTGCACGAGGGATTTGAGAACATGAGCTGAACAATACCGCCCAGTATGAAATTGCGCAGCATTTTTTAGACTGAAAGGATATAAGTGGGATTTGGTCAGTATCATGGGACCTCTTTGTCCCGTGAGATGAGATTTTTTCATTATTCACAAATGGTCAGACCCCTGCATCTGTCTTTTTCCATCTGCACTTCATCCCAGTGACTTCTAGCACTGGTCTGATACTTACTGGGACAGGAGAATGGCACCTACTTTCCTTTCTGCAGCATCTACGTTCTCTCTGGGAGGTTCCCAGGCTATTCAGTGGCAACTCTACTTAGGTCATGAAATTTGACAAGGACCACTGGCCAGGACACTGTGGCTGGAGACAACAAAACACAGCCATCAAATGCAATTGCACTCTCTGTTAAGCAGCAGGTGTTCTTAACTGTTTGAGTAGGTCTTGCCGCTGACAGTCTTGCTGTGGAACTATTAGACTGACACAGTTTCCAGTCTTTTTGACTGTTAGGGCATCCTCTTTAACAGGAACCTTTTTCTCCTCTCTACTTGACTCAGATCGATTACAGTCTGGAATGCAAACAGATTCTTCACTGTGAAGATATAAAATATAAAAAAGAAGTTTTTCAAGTGTATATATATATGGCCAGGCAAAACAGAGCTGAATACCGTACAACAAAATACAGTTTGACATTTACATGTACTTTTCTTCTCTTCAAAATTCTCTTATATAGTGACTCCAGATAGCTTTTTAATGAAGAATAAATATCACTGAAGGCAATGCAATGTAGGAAAAAAAAAAACACCCAGACAACACACAGACAAGAAAAAGAATCCCAGCTGACAAAAAATAACAAGTGTGTATACTTTTTATACAACACTCAGTGATGAATGTTCCTGATGTTACTTAAAGAGCAGGAGTCCCGCAGGTGTGTGCTATGTGACGTTATAGTTGATAGCCTTATGTACATGAGTGAATATTGTTGTACCCAAGGGGAACATAACACTGCGCAAGTGTTTCACTGAACACCCTCCTGCAATGATAAAATTCACCTGTGATGTAACATTTGGGAAAAGTAAAGGTATAATTTGGTCATGCTGTGCTCTAAAGTTACATTTATAAATACCTTATAAGGGTCGATAACGAATGAGTAAATCTTTTAATAAATGGTAAACAAAATGCTTCTAACTTGTAGTAGAATGTAACACAATGATACAATGCTTATTAAGAGTATTGTTTCATGAAAGATTTATAACCATCTGTGACACATGCAGCTTATTCATTTATTAATGGAGATGTCTGGAGAAATGGATTTTCTGTCCTATGGGACAGTTCAACATTTGGAAATCTGACTGGACTCAAAATGAGACGAATAGCTGAAATCTCCAAGTATTTCACAGAATTAAATAGTTTCAAATATTTCAATACAAAAACGTCAAAATGGCTATATTGAAACAGTTCCTCCCAGTAACACTGAAAAAATGTAGTATTTGATATTCATTAAAATTGTAACATTGGTGTATAATGTTATGCAATACATAATGGCCAAAACAAAATTGAAGATAAATATCTAAATTAAATGAAACAGAGAAAGTTATGAAAAAGGTGTTCTGAACTCTACTTAAATGAGTTTGAAACCTTTCCTAAAACCACTGTAAAACTCAGCACTTTCCCACATGATATTTTGATTGAGAAGAACCAACATTTTCATATTGAAAAAGTTTTCATCAATCAGTTTTTCTCTGCTCTTTTTAAAAGCTCTTTTGATTAGACCTAATGTGACTCCTAATATGTAGTGGGGCCACAATTCCAGAGGAGTCCTGGAGCTGCTTACTCCAAGTTTGAATGCTGTCTCTCTTCATCTGCTCTACCAGATTAATGAATGAGTCAGGTGTAAGGTTTCTCCTCCCCAAAGCACCAGATTATGACAACATCACACAGGACACGTGGTTTGGATCACTCAAATGAACACGGTGCAGGTTTATTTGGCAGTCAGATGGAACACAGAAATCAGCAGTGGCCACGTGTTTTCTTTTTTCTTTTTATTTTCTAAACATACTATATGGGATGCACAGGAATTACAGACAGAGGATCTGGCCTGGCATTGTCCCAGGGCTGCTCCTCTTGTTCACAGACATATCACACTGCCCTAAGACCACTTGCTGTTTGCTTACCTGGTCATTGTAGCTCTCCCACCATTCCCCATACTCCCTTTTGGGGTGAAACACTCTATTTCCGACTTGTGCGGGGCCAGTCTCCTGCCTTTGTACCTAATAAATCACGACAACAACAGGAGCAAACAGAAAGAAGTGATTGTGTGCTCAGCTTTCTGTGACAGCTGCTGTGCAAAGGGCCATGCACATGTATGCTAAGTTATAGTGCAAACCAGCCGTGGGAGCGGTGGAATAGTTGCATAAAACCCCGGACCTGTGCTAAAGCAAACAAACAGGGCTATGCAGGAGAGGTGCTCACCATTTTCTTTTTTTTTATATATAGGAGGAGCTAAAAAATTTTGCATAATAGATAACATGCTAGCCTTTTGTCTTTAATAGTTTTTGGAGTTAGACCAAAATGCTTGGCTAAAGAGTTTAAGGGAAACGACACTTAAATTAAGGATCAATGAGAAATCAGCTGGTGGCCACGTTCTCAATCCTAACTTAATCTTTTTCTCTGATCCTCCATCTCTGTAACACTTGACTTGTTCCTCTGCTTGTCAAAGCAAGCACCAGTGTAGTTGATTGCTTGGGTAAAGTTTGCGTGGGCTCACAGTTCATGTCGTGAATGGGCCTTTCTTTCTCCATTAGCAATAAAAGGAGGCTAGATGACTTGCTGAGATGTAGACATAAAGTCAAGTGAAATCAATCCCAATCCTAGAGCCCAGTGCAGTACTATAAATGTTTTAAATACCATACCTTGCACTTGGATGAAAAATTCACTTGGATAAACAGTTTAATACTTGAGGATCTAAATAATCCCTGGAGAGGATACCAGGATAAGACCTGGTCATTGTTTACTCTCTGAAGCACTTAATTGGGGTGTGAGCATTGAAGAGGTCTTACACTGGCTCTCTTCCCAGTGGTGAATTTCACCCTAATTGTACAAATTCTTGTGCTAGGTGTTGAAATACCTATTTAAATTCTTCAATAAAATCTGGGCAAAATGCCTGCAGATGTCTTCTCAAAGTTTGTGATATCCCATTCCCACGTGCTGTGAGGTGCATTGTGTGTATTTAACACACTTGTGTAGGGAAGCCTGTACATTTTAACACTGCTAACATTACAGAATAAATGAGTTATTTATTGCTTGTCCGTTAACCTGATCTAGATAGCAAAAGGTACCTTGAAGAGAACAGCCCTGTAAAAGAGAAATAACCTGAGTACACACAAAGTCAGGCTAAACTTTGGATGCAGTTGCAGTAGATCCTCAGAGGCAGTGTATTTTGCATAAATAACTGAGGAAGAAGCTTAGTGAATCTGAGAGTGAACTGGAGACAGTAAAATGAGGTGTTCTCAGTGCAGAGAAGTCCTTTCATTTACAAAATATAACCTTACTGAAAGGAGGAACAACAGGAGCTTTGCGGACTGGCTACCAAGGTTTTAAGGCAATCCAGAGTGCGGTATATGCAGTGCTCCCAGATAGGCGTGGAGCTCGCGCAGGACACATACATATTAAATGGAAGTCGATTCCTAGAGCAGAGGAAAAAGTGGAGGGGCTTAGAGAGTAGATAAATTCACTGAAAAATACAAATGAAGTCAAGCTGGATCATACAAATTCAGTTAGGATAGCCAGAGAGAAAGAACAAAGGGAAAAGAATGTATAGAAACTTGACAGGAAAGAAAAGGAAATGAAGTTGGGGTGAAGGTGTTAGACATCAAAGAAAATAGAGTTTAGGAAGAGCAGGAAGGAAACACAGTTACATTTAGACCTGATAACCAAAAGAGGTACTCTGTGCCCAACAAGACAGAAGGAGAAAAAGTCAAGACTAGGAGAAGGAATTTGGAGACTCTAAATGCTCACAGTGAGTTGAATACTAAAAAGTAGCCAACGGAAGAAAACAAGAGGTAAGTGTCCTTGGTAACTCCATCCTGAAGAACCCCTGGTTAGGATGCATGTGACCCAGATAAAGAAAATCCCCAAATTCCCCATTCCCCAGTCATTAGCATAAATTTCACTGCCATGAAAGTAAGTAGAATGGATCTCGAGAGACTGATATGAATCTCTCAAGTTTTTCCACCCACTCAAGAGCAAATTACACCATCAGAAATAATATGTGATCACAGAATGCCTCAAAGCCTTGAACCATAATACCTCTTCCACTGCCATTCATTCAGTGTTAAATATCCACATAATTATGAAAACAGTGACCAAACTCTAATCAACCCTCCTAGTGAGGAAAGTGCATCTAACCAGTGCACGGAAGCTGCAAAGTTCTTTGGGTGACCATTCTGGAAAGGGACACCAGAGGTTCTGAGTAAAAAAGATTTTCAGCTTTCAGAGCAGATAGAGGACATGATTTTGCCTTAGAATGTCTTGCATTAGAAAAATGTTGCCTTTCTGGTTGTTAAAACAAAAGATTGCTTTAAAAGATTTAATCTGAGGAGAGAAAAAACCCTCAAACATTTCTTTGCAGTTGTCATACCAAATGCTAATGTGAAAATTAATTTGGTATTTCAGCTGGTGTATGGAGGAGGCATAAAACACTACAGTGTGAGCAGCATTTGCAAGAATAGATTTCTTTTCTCAGGGTCAATTCCAGGACTATATTGGTTAGAAAAGAGAGAGAAGTCTTTGCCTCTGTGCAGAAAGGCAGCTACTAAATTCTGTTGAAGGATTAAAAAGATTTTGGGTTATTTTTAGTGTTTCTTTTGGCTTTTGGGTGTGGCATTGTGGGCTGTGTCATTTTTTTTGCACAGGGGTGAGTTGTCTTAAGAACAAATGCTTAATGATACGTACTAATATGTTTTTGGTTAGAAAAGAGAGAGAAGTCTTTGCCTCTGTGCAGAAAGGCAGCTACTAAATTCTGTTGAAGGATTAAAAAGATTTTGGGTTATTTTTAGTGTTTCTTTTGGCTTTTGGGTGTGGCATTGTGGGCTGTGTCATTTTTTTTGCACAGGGGTGAGTTGTCTTAAGAACAAATGCTTAATGATACGTACTAATGTGTTTGTACATCAATAAGTGTTGATCAGTGACAGGAAATTTGGGAAGTCATTCCCAGTAGTTCAGTCACTGCGGTGTTTGTCCATTTGCCAAATACTTTGCCACATCACTTTATCTTACACAGCAGTGCTCTGCACTCTCCAGAGGGGATCAGTAGAGAGAAAGAAACTTACTCCTGGGCTGAGAGAAACCGTCTGTACTACCTTGGCTTTTAGTGAATTCAATGCACATGTGATACATGGCAGGAAACACCAGCGTGACTGCTCAGGTTTGAAGGACTGTTAGACCTTTTCCTTGCCTTCTTCACCTTCCAACAAAACTCCTCTTGTAGACCAAAATTAATGGATGCTATGGGAAATAAAGTGGGAATATGGGAATCATCATCCTGAATGAGATCGATAGTCATCCACTACCATGCTGTAGAAACCAGTTTTTGATCTCTTAATGTGTAGATCCCTACTTTTTTTTTTTCCAGTGAAGGTGTGGGCCCCTGTACTGACAAGACGTGATAGTCTTTAGATATGGACTTTATTAGACTATGCCTACAATTTAGAACCAGGTGCTGGTATCCTGGTGGTCCTGACTTCATGTTAGGGTGAGACCCAGCTGTGCCTATGGCCCCTCCTGCCTCTGCTTTCTCCTGGTTTCCATGCAGATGGCCTTGGATGCCTTGACCAGCAGTCCATTCCATATGGTAGCATATCCCCTATCTGGAGGATGTTGGCAGGCCAGACCTAGAAGGTGTGCCATAGCCCACATTTCTGTATAGTTTGGTCAAAGACTTAGTCAAATCCTTGAAAAATAGTCTATGGGTAGAATGTGGGTAGTAATACACAGATTCTGTTAAAATGTCCACACTACACCAATTGAGAAAGACTACCCAAAAGACAAGTGCTTGCAATAGCAAAAAGTAGTTGTTTTAGATAATCTGTCCTCTGGGGAAAAAAAAAAAAAAGCCCAGCAATTAGAAACTGGCTTTTACTCTTAGACATAAGATTTTTTTCTCTCTGCTTTTTCAGTAAAAAATAAAAAGTTTAACTAACTAAAAGATATCTCAGGATAGCTTTGGTTTTTTTAATGCAATGCAAAGCAAAGGTAATTTGCTGTGTAGGAGATGGAGAGCTGCCATCAATCCACATTTCAAATGCAATCGCATACTGCCGTGCAGAAATGTTATTAATTATTGAGCACCAATTTTTTTGCTTGGCATTGTTAAGACCCAGAGGAAGAGAGTAGCTCTAATCAACACACTTTTTTCTGCTTCAAGGTGGGAGTAATGGTCTGATTAAACTGTACCTTGCAAGGGTGGAAGAAGTGATGTTTCCACAGGAATACTTAAGAGGAGAGAGGTTGTAGAGCCAGCTCTCATTGTAGGGCAATGGCTAATTGTACACTGGGGACTTAAGTTCAGCATTGCAGTGACTAATTCCTAAGGGCCTTGTTAATTAACAGGATTCCAATTTTTGGTCTGAGATACTGAAAATGGTATTAGGTGTCTAAAGCTCTTTCTGAATCAAGCTTTTCCCCAGCAGTTAACAATAATCAAAGCAGGTAATATCTATTATTTCAACCCCAAACCTCTCATTTTGTCTATTTTGAATGAACCTGAAGCAAGACTTTTTTAAAACCCTGAAAGGTGAAATTAATGGAGGAGAGAGGAGAGGGGATTCAGAGAGCTTTACAGTATATTGATGAAATATTGTCTCTTTGCTTTCCATCACTTTTATGGAGCCTTTTCAATGTGCTTATGCCTGGAACTTGAACAGTTTGCTGAATGTTACAAAGCCATCCACCTTTCCAGACCCAGTTATATATTTTAATTGTCAGATCTTACATACAAGTAGTATTTTTCACCTGCAGTACTACTTGGTCTTGATATTAAGAAATGATGAAGAACTTCCATTTTATAGCAGCAGAGTTAAGGTTGGCCTTTGGACTAGGTAAGACAATAAGTGTGTGAAGATTTCTGCATAAATGGTAAAGAATGAAATATGAAAAATATTTAGCATTGTTACTGTAGGGGCTGCTTTGAACTACAAACATACTGTGTTCTTGAAAACCAGTTCTGTGAGATTGGTCATGCTATTTTGACATTGCACTGAATACTTTTGAA